TAGAAGCTGAGCTAACTAGCAGCAGCTATGTGAGCTCAGGTTTAGAGGTGACTATCGCGAGGTGAAGGGRMARYGAACTGAGTAATGACGCTGGTGACTCCGAACTTATAGGGTGAAGGCGGAGCCTGTCACCCGATGTTCAACATCACCACGTCACCGGTCTAAAGACGTGATTAGAGGTGGCTTCAGCCAGGCGCACGAGGGCGAGCGTGTCCCATATAAAACTGTGTGTTGTACTGAGTGAAATGACTGAAAAGGTACAACGAGTGTATGTTTGAGACGTGATGTTGTAAATACTGTTGATCCTATTCTTTGAGTCAGATGGTTGAAATTTTAAATACAAAGTTATGGGTGAGAAATCCTTTTTAAAAGGATTTTGAATCAGACTTATTACACTTCAATAAACAAAAGTGTTAGATTTACTTAAACTAATGATGTCTGGTTCCACGCAGCTGAATTGAGTAAATGTAACACTTTTACTTCACATTTACTTTTAAAGTAAATGAAAAAAAAATCCTTTACATTTCCTGAATTCAATGAATGGATCCAGACAAAATTTGTTTAAGCAAATCTAACTTCCGTATTTTGAGTGCACAGCGAGTTTCCTGTTATAGTGACACGACGTAACAAACCAAAGCGCTAAAAAAAWGATTTAGTGGGTTGCCATTATTGGTGCTGTGATCTCAGCTTTGTATTCACATGATTCATCCACTTATATGTGCATTCTGAACACATCTGTGTATTAAAGCAGTTTTTTTTTTTTTCTGGTTCATTGTGGTGATCGCAGCAGTGCCTGTTTATCTGTAAAGATCTCTACCCACACTGGCAGGTTTCTGACTGGCTTGTGCTGCTTTTTTACGCCACATAAAAAATGATGTTTTCAGTGTTAGATTACTGGAACTCTTGGTGGTGATTGGCGCTTCCTCACACATATCACTGGCGACTGTCAGTCTCTCAGTTTTGTTTGGAAAAGCTTCAAACTAATTCTGTGTGAAATTCAGTCCTTTTTATTTATTTTTTATTTTATTTGACAAAAATGAGAGATATAAAGGATTTCAGTTCTAGAGCTATCTCTTGGTTAATGAATGAACACACAACAGACTGAAGAAATAGTTTTTTATATTTAAATGTAGATGTTTGACAAACTGTGATTTCAGTGTGGAATTTTATTATGTTCCAGACTGAGTCTAATTGTTCTTCTCTTCCAGGTTGGCCATTAAAGGTTACAAAATGCCCCTGGAAGCCAAAGACCTGTGGTCCCTGAACCAGCGCGACAGCTCCAAGATGATGGTGCCTCAACTCCTCAAAGAGTGGGACAAGGAGCAGGTCAAGGCCAAGAGGTGCGCAGGGTGTGGGATTGATGAGATTGTTGTTTTTCATCTGAAAGAAGCTGGATATTGTATTGTTGCTGCATGATTTAAAATCCACACACACTCCACAATTACATCTATATTACTTCCTTCCTTTCAGCCTGTGTCTGCATCTGTTTTTGTGTCTATGTGTTAGCAGAATATCTCATGAACCACTGGCCGATTTTTAATCAAACTTACAGAAAATAATAATCAGATGTGTGTCTCCAACTGATTAAGTTTTGGAATTAACCCAATTTAAGATGGCTGCCACAGCTAATCACCCTTTGTCAACACAAAATGGCTGTATCTCAGTCAGTTTAATAAAAATTTAACTAAAATTTATCTGAAATTGATTCAGAGTACCTACTCGGGATGACATTTACTCATATTAAATGAGGTTTTTCTGAAAATTAATTTAACATTTTGAACAAAACAGCTATAACTCAGCTTTTACTCTATCCTGTAAATCGTGAGAGTAAAACTCATTTTTACTGAGGGCCACATGATCATTACGGTGTCCCTCAAAGGGCCAGTTGTATTTAACTTTGATGTTTCATGTTTAACTTTGACCAAGCACAAAAGGTCTCATTGCCATGGTTGGGCATCACTAACAAACTAACTGAGCTCTAAGTGGCATTTCCTGCATAGAAGCAGAGTTATAAACACTGAAAAGGTGTACGACTGACTAAATGTGAAATAATACAGAAATACTATTAAAAGTAAAAGTAAGAGAGTTTTACTCACTGTTGTGTTGTGGGGAGTAGTTGCCATCTTGAATTCTGAACTCTCCCACTTTCCAATGGGGATTTTCCACTGGAGAGTGCGTTTAAATTTACAACTTGTAAATGGGAAATTCTCACTTCCCAGTACAGCTGAGCCACAGGAAAAATTGCCTACATGTCCCAAAATTTGTTGAGATTACTTTCTCGCAGAATGACTGTATCTTAACCACTAGGTGGAGYTGAGCAGTGAAAGCAGAAAGTCATCAGCCAGTGAAATTTGCTGTGCAAAAATCTTAATTTATCTGCATTTTTGCTAGCTGGAGACTTTTGAACCCTGTGTGATTCTGTCATTTTGGCATGCATTTTGAGAGGTGTAATTTATGGTCTWTGTTGGCTTTAAAGCAGCATACACTTATTTTAAAGACGTTACTGATCTTTGAAGCTCTCGCTGGCCACATAAAGTGCCATGGCAGGRCAGATTTGGCCTGCAGACKTTGAGTTWGYCACAYTTTCYCTGCTAGAGTTTAAATATCTTTAGTGCAGATAAATGCATCTAGGGTAAGCTTGCTTTAATTGAACTTAAGATCACATAAAAGAGAGGATGTTTGTTTTTCAGAAGCCATAGCTTTGTCTGTGTGGATTGYCGAGGCAGTGTCTCTCCTCAGGCGTGTGTTACCTGCTTTTTGCACAAGTGAAACTAGGAGCATGCTTCATGTAACTTTGCAGGAAGATAAACACTGAAGCTGCTTACTCTACTTGTTTTTACTGTAATTGTTTTAGAGAAAAAAGATACTTTGGCAAATTTATGAACAACAAATCTCTATGCAAGTATCTTCAGAGGGAATTAATTTTTTTGTATACTTTTTTATTTGTGGGTTTGTTTTGTGCAAAACGTTTTAGCTTTAAGAAAGAATTGCCTTTATTGTCATTGTACAGAGCACAACAAAGTTACAGTTCAGAAAACCCACCCAAGAGAGAGAAAAACACAAACAAACATACAGTAGGAGGACAGATTCCCGGGTTCTGCAGCCATAAGGAGACACTACCCTTAAAAAAGGAAAAAGAAAAGCCAGCATGATGATAGGTGAGGATAAATGAAGCATCTCATACAATGTCCCTAACAAGGACACGATATGAGTTAAAAACAACAAGAACATCTGCATATAACCCACTTAAGCTAGTGGGTTACACAAAGACGGTGTTTTGAGGAGGGGTGTATCTGAAGTGGTGCAGTGTTGTTTATGTGTGTATGCATCTTTGAGTAAAACTGTGAAAAAAGTCCTCAAACCCCACCCACCGTAGTTCAAGTTTTCTCTGCAGAYTAAGTGACTTGTGCTTTACGTAGCTGTTCTCAGACTGCGGTATCTCAGTGGTCGGCCTTGTGGTTTTGTAAAGCTAAAGCTGCGAGTTTGAACCCAGGTAGCATCAGAAAGGGCATCTGTTGTAAAACAATTTCCAAATCTTTCATGAGTTTACTCACTGTGYTGACCCCAGCAGAAGGGAGCAGCTGAATGAAAAAAGTGTAGTGTTTTCAACTTAATACTAGAGTAATCGTTTGGCTACTCGAAACGGAACTTCAGTGCTATAGTGTATTATTTCAGGGAGAAAAAAACATGTTTGACAAGTTTGTCTGAACTCTGGCCTCTATCAGGCTGTTTCCTCTCAGTGCTGCAGCCTTCCTGTCGGTTTCACTGTGTTTTTATACTGAGAGCAGCTTGTGGGTTCCTTGATAAGGAAAGGATTTTTCAGTTGTGCTGTGGAAACCTTTTTGCTGTTATAGTTGGTTGAAAAAATGTTCCCCTCTCTTTTTTGTTGTCAGAATAAATTTTCTGAAGATGCAATATATATTTCTTGCAAAAGAATCTCCTGAAGTCAATACGGTGTAAACCCACATTTTGCAGTAATTACATTAGCAGCAAGTTTCTTCAGGAACAAACCTGGCACATGGAGTTTTGTTAATTCTTTTATGACAAAACAGCTCCAGTTCCTTCAAGCTGGATGAGTTCTGCTTGTCTGGATTGAGGTCTGGGCTTCGACTGAACCATTCCAAGACATTTTACTGTTTCTCCTTAAAGGGCCAATATTAAGTGTTTCTCAGGCATATATTTAAATACTATACCATAATAAAGTATCAATGTCACCTTTAGCTGTTATGAAAATGCTGTTTTTATGTTTAAATAGAAAATAAACTTATCTTCTCGTCACTTCCTCTTCTAAACGCCTTGAAATTGGCCTCTGTCTCTTTAAGAACCTCCTTCTACAATTTTATTGTACATCTTAGACATTCACTCATAACATTTTCATGAAATTCACATATAGGAACTTAAGG